TACTTTCATATTCATTATTGTGACCATTGTGACAGAACTATGTGAAAGGGAGAAATCCAAGGCAGTTTGTTTCTGGCAACCATGGTGCTCTTTAGAGGCAAGAATGGTGGATCTCCATCTTCACAAACAGTACGTGTGTGGTCAGGAGGGGGCTGGTCCTTGAAAAGGATGCCATGATAGGAAAGGGTGGGAGAAAAAGAAGATGACCCTCAACAAGATGAATTGATGCGATAATTGGCTTGAGCATATCAGAAATGGTGTAGGATAGGACAGGGTTCAGATTTGCTGTTCATATGTTCATTGTCTTCGAGAGGGTGAAACCGTGTTTCTCCTTGGAGGCTCGGGTTTTAAAGCTCCATCTCACATACTTTGGGCACATGGCCAGAAGAGACCTGTCCTTGGAGAAGGGCATCATACTAAGAAAGGTGGAGGGACAGCGCAGGAGAGGGAGACTCCAGATGAGATAGATCGATACAGTAACTGGGGTAATTGGGGTTGGTGTGTCAGAATTAGTAAAACTGCCTCAGGAGAGGGCAGGCTTCAGAGCGGCTATACATAGGGTCACTGGCCCACTGGCGACTTGACAACACATAACAACAACAACATGCTTATTGTGAATCATATTTGACTCAGCTATCTACTAGCAACATGGATTTCCTTTGGAGGACAGCAACATCTATTAAGAGCTGAGCATGTACCAGGCATGGCACCAAATGCTTAGTTATCACATATAATTTAACTTTCACATTTCTGTGAAATAAGTACTGTTGTTGTGTGTTGTTAAGTTAGAACTGACCCATAGCTGACCCTCCAGCAGATTTTCAGAGGCAGTTAATTGCACAGAAGGAGATTGCCCATCCTTCTCCTGCAGAGCAGCTGGTATATTCAAACCACATGCCTTTTGGATTACAGTACAGCTTCTTAACGCTAGGCCACCAGAGCTCCTCAAATTATAGATGAGAATACTGAGGCACAGAAAAGTTAGGTAATTTGCTCAAGTTCTTACTCTTAACCAGTGCATTGTTAAGAGATCGTCCCTTGAAGACCAGCTATTATCCTGACTGTATAAGGTAGGAACCATTGTAGATCTTTTACCACTCATTGGTTTGCCAGGAAACTAGAATATATAGATTTGGTGTGTTTTGTTTTTTGTTTGTTTGTTTTGCATTTATAAGAAGAATACCAGCTTATTAAGATCCTGAAGTTCTGAGACCTGAAGTAGATGATGTCTGACTATCTTAACCAAGCATTTTCGCTGGGGATACAATAAATGGATCCTGATAGAAAGGGAGGAAATGTCAAACAGAACTTCAAAGTCCTAAAGAATTTAGACTTTCTGAATCCATTCAAGCCCTGGTGGCTTAGTGCATAACCAAAAGGTCAGCAGTTCAGATCCACTAAGATCTCTGTGCGACAAAGAAGAGCAACCTTCTGTAAAGCTTGAGCCAGAGAAAACTGCTGAAGGTTGCTCTGAGTCAGAATCAACACAATGGAAGTGGGTTTGGACCTCTTCAGGCTGGAGGAACTCCCTCTGATGATTGCCTGGGATATTTTTCAAACCTTGAACTAAAACTGTTCCCATAAGTCATTTTAGACTAAAACATAAATTTAGCTTGAAAAATAGAGAAAATGTCACCCTTCTGTAATATGCTCTTTTGAGAAAGTATGAGACCCAAGAGACAACAGTAACTCTAAAGTGTAAATGAGATGCTTTGAAGCAGTGAGTCTAAATGAATGTGAGTGAAACAACTAGAGCAGAAATAACAAGAAGGTTGACACAATATGAGAATTGTAATCAATGTGACTGCACAATATGTGTAAAAATTGTTAAATGGGAGCATGTTTTCATGTGTATATTTTCATCAAGTACAAAATAAAATTTCAAAAGATTCTGAGGTTCTTAGATCTTGAGAAGCTTTTGGATGCCAAAAATGTCTTTCCTAAGGAATTCCCTAGGTAGGTCATGCAATTGCTAGAATTAAGTCCCTGCTCGTGATTTTTAACATGCCACACAATATTGGTAAACTAACTCTGTAATGGTATTATGGCCCATTTTCCTCCCTTCACATACTTCCTTCTTCTATAAATTTACTCCTCCCCCCTTCTGCCCATTTCCTTGCCTCTGGCATCTGTCTAATATGGAGCTCTTGGCATCTCTATCCCTTTCTTCATTGATGCCTGGCATGAATGGGTGGCTATCTGACAGGGCCTCCATTGTCACCTCCCACAGCAGGAGAACATTCTCTGTGACCTGAGTTCTGGGTCTCACCCAGGCAGCATGAGACAGACTGTTTTTGCTTTCTCCTTTGGGACTGTGGTGGTAGGGTTTTTTTGTTGTTGTTAATGTCTCTCCTCCCTACCCTAACTACCCCTTCCTCAATTTTGCTGTTGTTCTTAAATTAGGAGCTAGAAACTGATGCAAAGGAGTAGGCATATGTGTCCCTATTATCAGTCATCTTAACAACAACAACAGTGGCCTGTTGGCAAGAAGCTGCGCTGCAATCCCAAAGGGTTGCAGTTTGAATTCACCAGCTGCTCTGCAGGAGAAGGATGGACAGTCTCCTTCAGTGCGATTGACTGCCTCTGAAAACCAACTAGAGGGTCAGTTAATGGTTTAGTTCCAACTCGATGGTACACAGAGTGATCTTGTATTCAGATACAATCAGAGCTCACTGCACATTGGCTACTTCGGACCAGAATGAATAGGAAAATGGCCTTTAGGATTTTTAATCCCAGAAGTGGCAATTTTGTTCAGCATGGTTGACTCCGTCAGCCTCTCTGAGGAAGTGCTCTGGCATGACCCATTCTAAGGTGGCCATATATCACCACTCCCCTTGTGTTCTCACCATGCAACATCACTTAGCTGCTTTGTTCCAGCTGCCAGTTGTCATATTTGATATTCACAACCATGAAGTCTTAGCTTCTCAGGGCTTGAGTTAAGATGTAGAACTCTATGAGCTCAACATTTCTCCTTCCCTAGTTAAATGATTTAAGTTATTCAGTGCTACTGAGTGCTTGAACCTCATCTTTTGTGTGTAGGGGCTGTAAGAAGGGGGTGTGAACCTGGTCAAGAATAGAGAAAAGAAAAGCCAAATTCATACTTTTGGTCTCCTGAGGCTAAGTAACCAAAGCCATAAAATGGGGCTAATTGGCTTTCACTTCTGCAGCCTCTGTAGACTTGCCAAAGGCTGAACAGACTATGGAGGCTGAACCACTCGTTTTAAGAGGGTGAGGTTAATAGGCCTGTGTCCTTGCTCCAACCCCAGGGACAGAAGACTCATCATGAGAGCTGGTTGTTGGACTCCTTTAAAGGCTGTGCAAAAAGAACTGATGTTGAGACAGCAGCGTGGTGCATGGGCAGTGAAGATAGTTTTAGAACGACTCTGGTGTTGCTCATCTACCCCCTTCCTCACTTGACTACCCTTTTCAGTTGTGAAACTGAGCTTCACAAAGAGTGCCTGGTGCTACAGGTGAGCTGATGAAGGGCAACTGGTGCTTCCTAAGAACCAACAATAGAGGCAACAGGCAGAGCTCTGGCACCTCCTGAGGAGATGTGGAGGATATTTTCAAGGTCATGGAGTTCAACCCACTGAGAAACAGATGCACCTGCCAAGGCCACACAGGTGGAGTAGAGCACCCAGGACTCAGACCAGCTCTTTAGGCCTATCAAAGGTCAAAGTCTTTTTCCTTTCCCCTTGAGCAAAACATTAAAGCCTGTGGGACTTAGAATTGTCATCTGTGACAAAGAGTTGAGTTCAAATCTTTCCGTTCTAAAGCTCCCTAATCGCACGAACATGTCTTGGGAGCTTTGGACACACTGGGAAAACATTTGGTGTAGGTCTCACCCATTCACACTTAACGGAGAAAATAAAGTTAAATATTAACTTTGGACTGTAAGCTGGTGCTGGACATAGTGTTAAAACAATTGCGCTGACAGTGTGGGTTAAAATCTTTCATGGACCTGAGTTCATGCAGGGGAAGCCCCTGTGTGGCCCTGTAGTGCTGATGTTGGATTCTGATTTGGTCAATTATTGATGCTGCTTCGGACCAGAGGCATTTGATATCGTGGCTGAGTGTACAGTAGTATTGGGCCTCAGGAGCCAGAAGTGTCAGATTGCTAGGATGTTAGGGAGGTTCAGAAAGAACTGCAACTGTCTGCTGGCACTGACAGATTGAACGATTTTCTTCAGTGTATCAACTGAGGTTAAACAAATATGAGCAGCTAGGAGGCTTTTGAGAAAGTGAGATGTTCACATTCTTTAAAAAAAAAAAAAATTAAAAAAAATAAAAGAAGCTTGTGCACTCTGAGGAAGGAAGGATGAGGCGTGGAGCCCTGGACAGCCCCACTCTGAGGAAGGAAGTAGTGATTTCTCTGCTGTTTTGTTTTGCATTTTCGGTAGAGGAATTCCAGAAGCAGGTTGTGGATCATGACCTCCATTTTTGTTTTTCCCTTGCTGCTGCTTGCCAAAGGAAGGGAGGGCGGGTGGCTCTAAATAACACTTTGGCCTTTATGGAAATGTATCAGATGTTCTAGGAGTGAGTCTCGCTGGCTCGAGCACTTGCTGGCTGCTGCTCTGGTTCTCACTCTCACTCTCAGTTGTACTTCTTGTTCACTCGCTCTCTCTCCTCACTTGCGTCCTTTCTGTAGGATACCGTTAGCCCTTCTGCTCGCCTTATATAGCAAAGTCTGGTCATTACTGTGAACAGAAATCTACCAACAGGGAAGGCTGCCAGATTGCATTAATCAGGCCAGTGTTTGGAATTTCATAAATGCCCCGACTTTGGGTACAAATTGAACATTAAGAACAATACCAAACTATTTTCTTCCTTCCACTCTCTCCTTGTGTCCCTTTCTCCCCTCCTACCCTATCCAGCTTCTCTGCCTTTCTCATTTTTTTTTTTCAGTTACTCTGCCTTGCCTTACGTTCACTGCGTTGGAACTTTGCTGATTTTTGCCACGTTTAATTTTTTATTTCTCTTGTCTCTCCGTCCACTCCAAGACCACAGGCGGAGCAGCAGCAGCCGGAGCCAGGACTCTGCGGAGGGGCAGGACGGGCAGGTCCCAGAGCAGTTCTCAGGTCTCCTCCACGGCTCCTCCCCGGTGTGCGAGGTTGGGCAAGACCCTTTCCAGCTGCTCTCTGCTACTGGCCAAGGCGATCCAGAAGAGTCTCCGCAGCAGGGTGCCTGCCACGAGGTCAGCATGCAGCTGGAGGAGAAGGGTGGACACACTCCAGGAGCCTCCCAGCCCAGTGCCCTGAGCCAGAGCAAGAGAGTGGGCTACCCTTCAGGCCTGCCCACCACCAACAGCCAATCGCACCCCGAAACTTTGACTCGTATACTATCTCTACACCCTGGTGGCACTGAAGAAGAAGGAGACCGGATTGGGGCCAGGAGCCGAGCCCCTCCCACCAGCAGACCCAAAGCTGAACTTAAACTCAGCCGTAGCTTGTCCAAGTCAGACTCTGATCTTCTGACCTGCTCACCCACAGAGGATACTACAATGGGGAGCCGAAGTGAGTCCTTGTCCAACTGCAGCATTGGGAAGAAGAGGCTAGAAAAGTCACCCTCCTTTGCCTCGGAATGGGATGAGGTAAGGCTGACTATATCACAGCCCACTGCAATTCCCCTATGTACCGATTCCTAGGACCAAGACCAGGGTTGCCCTGTTGGTTTTGCACCACCACCAGTGGGTTTTGACAACTTTGAGAGAGGCAAGTAAATGTAGTCAGGGCAGGGGGTTTTACTGTGTAGGCTGTAGAGGACAGATCCATTAATGGTTAAACTGAAGGGTGGAGGCCCTAGCTGAGCAGGACAGAGGGAGAGGCAGTTCCTAGAAATGACATGCTATTAGAAAATATTTAGATTCCACCAGAAGATTAGAGTACTTTCTATCAGTCCTTCAGGAGGAAGAGAAATGATTCAGGTTAGCTGTGAGGGCTTTAATAGATGCTCCTAACAGGAGAGCAGGAAGGGGCTTTTCTGTTCCTCACCCCTCCATGATCATTCTGTGTTCCCCTAGAAGACCAAATGCCTTTTCCAGCAGAAGCATCTGGCCCATCCCTCATTCCTGGGCTGGGGAGGCCATGGGTTAGCTGGTTCAGGAAACAGAGATTAGTGAGTAGAAAATATTTGGAGTGTGAAATTCAGATTCTTTTCATGACCATTGTTCTAGAAAGTTAGAAAGATGTTTACTTACGTATTTTTCATTGACCTGCAACAGGTCTTATTAAGGTAGAAGAATGTGTTTTTCAAAGACTGTGAAACACTTGGAGAATGTTAAAATGCCACCCTTGCTAGCTTCTTGCTGGGAGGAAGCTGCCTTTGAAGTGGACTGAATCTGTCTCTCAGGAACATTTTCAAGAGATGAATTTAGCTCTCCATGAGGAGGAGAGCAGTACAGCTGACATGTCCATTTGACCCGTCTATAGACTGAATGCCCTTCCCCACTCTATTTGGATTGCAGCTGCAAAGTTATGTAAACCAAAGCCTATCCCATCCCAAATGTGGGAACAGGGTGGGGCAATTCCTCCAGCTCAGTTGTTGTCTCCAGATAAGATGAGGTTTAGGATTCTGTTGGTCAGGATTAGAGGACTCTGGAAAAGATTTTCACTATTTAGTAAGCAGAGATTTCATGCCAGGCAGTGTAAGAAAAACTCCAGGAGTGTAATTGCTCCAGGGCCCTGTAGGTATCTTTACTCTATTTTTCAAAGCCATTTTACTAATTTACAGTCAAGTATAATATAAAACAAGGGTCCTGGTGGCACAGTGGGTTAAGTGTTACGATGTTAACTGAAAGATGGACATTTCAAACCCACTAGCCACTCTGTAGGAAAGATAAGTTGTTCTGCTACAGTCTTCGAAATCCAGTAAGGTTCTAAGAGTCAGCTTAGTTTGGTTTTCTGTTTGGTACAGCATAGAACAGTTTAAGAATGTGAGACTATTTGGGGGAAGATAATGGTAAGTATAATATGCTTTGAAGTGACAAAGATGCAGGAAGTGTGAAAGGGTGCTTCAGAAAAGGTCTCAGAGAAGTGGACTTTGACGTGGAATTAAGAACCAAGTATGATGATTAAAACCAGAATAAGGCTAATGGGGTGAAGAGAGAGGAACATGAGCAAAAGCATGGAGCTGGGACAGCTCAGGCTATTCTGTTTCTTTAGAGTCTGTACAGGAGAGAATAATTAAAAATAAAAAGTTAGACTGGTATCAGATGGTGAGAGGATCTTAAACATGAGGCCAAGAAGTGGATGCCAGGTTTGACAAGTAGTGATGGTAACCACAATCCTTTAAATGGCCTAGAAGAAAACTTTATCTGAAAAACAGAGAGCAGTCTCTACAATGGAAATAATGTAAGGAAGCTCTGGTGGCATAGGTGATAGTGAGTTGCACTGATTATTCAAAAAAGCTGCTCATCTCTGGTCTTTCAAATCCACCAGCAGCTCCATAGGAGGAAAGAGGGCAGTCTCCTCCCATTGCAGTTTACAACTTTGAAAAGTCAGTGGAAGGACCTCTGGTGACCTAGTGGCAAGAAGCTGCACTGCAGTCCCAGAGGTGTGAGGTTCAAAGCC